AGGATGATCATTCAGACCATGTCCCGATTGCTGAGCTGCTGATATCATCATAACACACGCTAACGTCCTACAGCGCAAGTCCGTCGGCAAACTCTTAGCAGCAACAGAGGGCCACCTGCTCACGATTCTTCCGAACCCGAGTCTGACATGGTCGGTCAAGCCTGACTTCCGGCCGGCTTCCGCAGAAGGCTGCGGCCTGGTGATGTGAGTTCGGTGTCGTTTTCCCGGCGTTTCAGGAGCTCTGGAATTCCGGACAATGTAGAAGATTGGGCGCAGCGGGATATTGGGGGTTTTGGGGTTCCGCGTCAGGCACCACGTCTGTGCCCCTGGCCGTTGTGCCGACGACGAACACCAGCCTGGGTACGCAGAATCCATTGCCATGGAGAGGGGAACACCGTGGTATACGATCGGCTGAACAAGCCTCCCTCCCTCCCTCCCGCCCCCGCCACATCTGAGGCTTTTGCGCACCCAGAGTGCAGAGTCGAAGCTGCGACCACCGGGTCCTGGATCTCCTCCGCTCCGAACGGCCAACTGATCCGGCCTCGGCCCGGACAGAACTCCCGGAAGATTGCGTGACTGGGCCCCTGGCCTGGGTCATTGCGGCTTCGGCGGGGTCTGCTTGCTTGTAGACTTCTGCTCAGATCGAATAGGCTCTAAGATGCTCAAAGAGATCCAGTGTCCTCTCTTCTATGGCCACCGTCGCTGATGTCATGCGATGTCATGCACTTGAACAGCGCCAGCCCGGTCGCTCCGGAGCTGCGGCCGAGCGAGATGCAGGGATCATGTGTCTGTGCGGCGAGCAGGTCCTCATGAGAGGACCTCACGAAAGGAACTCCGAAGACCCTCAAGGCACCGGGCCATCCCTGACCAGCATGAGGCACAGTCTCAGAACAGCTTGATGTGTTGGAATCCTCTTCGGCCCGACGGACAAAATGCGCAGCAGCACCGATAGCATTTCAAATTAACGCGTCTTCACCGCTTGCTGGGGTTTGCTCGGGGCTGGTGTGATGTCCTATAAGAGAAGAATGTGATTCGGCATCTGGGCGCACTTCAGAAAGGACAGGACGTAGTCCGATAACCTGAGGCTGGGAAGGCAGAGGAAGAGCCTACGAAGCGTCTTCCTTCAATTGTAGGGTTAAGGTGTAGGGGGATGCGACATTTCGACAGGACATCAGACATGCCACGATATGCATTCAATCAACTTGCGTGTTCACGCAAAACACTCGCAGGCGATAGCTCCACACATAATAGCCCCTCACACTTAAGAGACAAAAACTCCTGAAACTCCTTCCCTTCTGCAGCCACTGCCACCATTCCAAGTCCTGGTTGTCGGCCATGGCGCAATCTGGGCTCAAGGTTTGCAGGGACTCGGACCCTGTGACCTACGTGCCGGCTCTCATGGACTCTCTTCGCCCTCTGCGAGGCTCGGCTCCTCCTATTCTGCACGACAAGCTCGCGTCTGGAGTTTCAAAGCTCAGGAATGCAAGCAGGCCAATTCGAAATCCTGCAATGCAGAAAGAAACTCCAAAAGCACCCTCCTACTACTAACCCTAAACCCTAACTAAACCCTAAACCCTAAACCCCTAAACCCACCAAGGGCCCGACCTCGTCGATACGCCAGGGCACGAAAAAGGGAGCCGTCTGAGCCGGAACGGCCACGGGTTGAGAGCTTCAGTTAGAGCTAGAGATTACTACGGCTTATTATAGTGTATTAAAGTTCTCTATTATAGATTATTTAGGGTTTGTTATAGAACTATAGTGGATTATAAGTCTATTCTAGCATATTCTAGCATATTCTAGTATATTGTAGTATAATATTCTATCTTATAGTATATTATGGTACTATTATAGTATTATTATAGGGTTACAGTAGAGGCCACTGGCCCAGGCAAAGACCATCATGCCTTCAGGGCGTGTTTATATAGGGCCTGCAGGTAAGAGCAGCTAACGAGAGCTCGGTCTGCAGTCTTTTGCTCCTGCTTGAAGCTCAGGGCTCTGCGATCTAGAGCCCAACTCGTAGTGAAACACGAACTACGGCGAGCGCTCTGGCTCTACTTCGCTCGAAGGAACTTGGCATGGACTTCGACCTTGGAAGGGCTGCTCTAGGACTCTTCGCGAACTGGCACCTGCATCCGATACCGCCGCAGCTGCAAACTCTCGTCGCTACGGAAGAGTCTAAGAGGTCGAGGGGCCCACAGACTGCAGGCAGGCTTGAAGTCTAGGAACTGCCACATTAAATTCAAGACTTGAGGTTCCCAGGCAAAGCTTAAACCATCGCATCTGGACGAGCACCCTCCGGGCCACGAACCGTCTTTCTCGTGCTTTCGGCCTGGCCCATCAAGTTTGTCATGGCCGTTCTTGCCACAGTCTGTCCTGTAAACTGCCCTTGACAGGTTTGCCTGTTCTTGGATAGCCAATCCTGAGCACGGCAACGATGATGATAATGACGACGGCGACAATGCCGAAGAGTCAGGACAGTATGATGCAGATGAGGAGTAAGACGAAGCAGGACGGCGATGGAGATGATGATGTGGATGATGCTGGTGCTGATGATGATGATGATGATTCTGATGATCCTGATGATGCTGATGATGATGATGATCATGATGATGATGATGATGATGGTGATAGTTTCTTGCGAGCGGTTCGCACCTGTTTCTCAAATTTCTACACATCTCCCGAAAGAGACAACAAAGTTTGACCATGACAAATACGAGATTCTGAAAAACAGAACACAACCGTTGAAAGGTCCTAGCAAATCTGAGAACGAGGAGCAAACCTCCGGAAAGAGACTAGAGCGTTTGACAAAGAGTGTTAAATCCAAAAGACCAACACAGCCGCTGCAAGGTACTAGAGCATTGTTTCTCTTGGAGCAAACCGATCGAATGAGACCGGAGAATTTGACCATGACAACAGGAGATTCTGAAAAAAAATGCGCACAGCCGTCGAATGGTACTAAATATAATGACAAACAGGAGCAAAACCTGCGAAAGAGGCCTTAGACTTTGACTGACAGTGCATGTTTTCAGATCATACTGTGCTCATGAACGCAACTAGAAGATTTGAGAAACAGCACTAAATCGCCCGAAAGAGACTAGAGGATTTGACAACAAGGAACCTATAAAGTACCAATGAAGTGGATTCAGAACTTGAGGAAAGAGGAGAGTTTCAGAAAGATGCGAATGTCACGAGAATACATACCTTGACAGGGTGGAACAATCTGGGAGATTTTGACAGAGCAGAGCTGGATTAGGGGTAATGATCCAGTGGAAAAGGGCCGGAGAATCTTGACAAACAGGAGCAAGCCGCTTAAAAGAGACTAAAGAAGTTGGTGACGAGGAGTTTTTGAGAAAAAGGACCCCAAAAAAACGAAAGAAACTAGAGTGGTTGGAGACTTTGAGAAACAGGAAGGAACGCTCGAAAACACTAGGGCTAGGGAATCGCTGAGAAAGTAAAGCTTAAGGAAGTCGAAAGGCACAAAAAACTTGAGAAACAAGAGCAAACCGCTCGAAAGAGACTGGGATGCAGGACACGTGAAGAGTGTGAGGGGAGCAAACAGTACACATGTCGAACGGGATTACAACATTAGATGTTGGAACAAGGGGCAGCCGCTCGAAAGAGACCAGAGAATTTGTGTCTCCCCCTGTCTCCCTGCATTTGGGACCGGCACGGGTGGCCAATGCCAGAGGCTTTTCATGCTTGCATCCCCTCTTGTTCATTCCCAATTTCATGCTGTGGGCGGGTGATCGATGCCGAGGTTTTCTATGCATTTGCCTTCAAACTCTTTGCAATGAACCCTCTGTCGTATTGCTATCTGCGACAGTTATCACAAGTCTCTGCTCGAGTCGATGGCCAAGTCATTGTGTTATTGCGTTTACAGAAACAAGCCTTCTGTGCATGCTATCTCAGAGTTTGGTTGGAGATTGGCACCAAAAGGGCAGAGGCACACAGGATTCCAGGACAGAAACATTCTCGAAAGCTGCAGCTTCAGCCTCACCCTGAGCTCAGCCCAGAACACTGCAAGCTCCGACACCGAAGCCTCTCCCAATCACCGTGCCCTGGCCTGCTGCGCTTTCCGGATTTCGGCTTCCAAATCCGCTACCTCGTGGCGTTGGGGGGAGCAAGGAATGGTTGTAGTTCACGAAGTGAATCAAAGAGGAAGTCGAAGTCAGCGTGCAAAATGACTCGAATTGTTTTCTGCACATCTTGTCTTCATGAAGCAGGCCTGCACCCTGGAATCAAGCAGACCGGCAAATAAAAGTCCCGTCCGTAGTTTGAGGCCATTGAAGCGGCAGTTTTGCCCACTGATGGCTGGAACGCCTGGTTGCCCCAACTCTGCCCTTGCGGGAATTGGCTGCCTCTGGGATTCCACGCTGCCCGCTGTCACTGTATGAAGCGGCAGCATGCCTTCTGTACCTTGCTCGCTTGGTCTCCTGCTCTGCTGTGTCAAAGCAAGATAAGCGGAAATGCATCTGCAATCAACGCAAATTCGAGGAGAAAGGGTCCAAATCAATCGCGCCAAGCGCTGAAGCACCTTCAAGCAAATAGGGCGCTTCAGGACAAGACTGCTGCAACTTCATTGGGCCCTCGCAAACAGCAACGCCTACCTCTGGCCATCAGGGGGATCTGAGGCGACTCCTCTGGAAGCCGGAAGAGGGTGCAGGGATGCAGCATCACTGGCTTTCCGCCACATGTTCCGCTTGGCCACCGTCTAGAATTTAGGGTCTAGGAGTCTAGGGCCAGAAGAGGCTTCGTCGACCGCGGGGTGCTCCGGCAGAACCAGACTTCCGGCCAGGATCGCTGCAGAAATGCACGGCCCCTGCGCGCGCGCCTCAGGCTACCTTGGAATTGCATACCGGCCCAAAAAAGACAGAGGCCGGGGGGTGCACATCAGAGCAGTGAGACGCTGGCAGAGCAGATCAAAACTGTGCACACAGCTGCGCAGCTGCGCTTCGGTAAATGAAAAGCGAATTCTCGGCTCACGCACTCCGTGTTCGGTTTCAGCACCAATCAGGGATCTCTTCGAAGAAATACGGGAGCTGCTGCTCCTTCCGGGGCGGGGCGGAAGTGATTTCTGTCGTGTGCAGGGCCAGGCCCCACGAGGTGCCATCTCCAGGGATCCGAGCGCCTTCGGCACCGGCCGTCCGCCGTTCAGCTGCTGGTGGAGCTCCTCCCAGACGGCTCAAACCAAGCAGCGCTCCATCTGTTACAGGCATGAGACACTGGACACTTCTTCCAAAACGACTCACTAAGATGTGCTCAGTATAGTATAGCCACTATCTCTACGACCTTCCTCAGCCTTGCAAACTCACCAAATACCAATTGGGTTCCTTCGCAGGCTTCGGCTTGTCGTGGTCAATGACTCAGGTAGAATGGGGGGGGGGGGGGGGGGGCGGCACCAGAGTGTCAGCTTCTTGTGTTTTGACTCAAAGGCTTGAGTTTACGGTATAGAGTCTGAGCGGGTGCGGCAGGCGGCGCTCCTCCCACTCGCGTCGGTTCACAGCCAGGAAACTGCTTGGGGGCAGCGTGCGCCAGAAGTGCTTCCTGCGCTCCTCCACCTGAGGCGTTGAAACACAATTCGCAGGAAGAGCTGCTACCGGGCTTGCACGGCTACAGATGATGTTGACGCTGGTCCCTCGCTCGCCTTACTGGCAAGCCAAGAGGGCTGTCACGACTTGCGAAGCGAGTGGTTGTTGATCCACCGAGATCGGCTTCCTCATTGCTCGGATAAGCAACTTGTGCAACATGGACAAGCTGTCTCTTTCGTTGTTCCCTCTTTCCTAGCCAAGTGAACTCAACGTTCATAAGTATCATAAGTCACGACTGGTCAAGTCCAGCATTTTTGCAACCTCCTCCGGACTAATGACCTTGCACACGGGAGCCCTTAGTTCCTTTCTTAATTAGTCTATTGATTCATTAAGGCTATCTAGATGATTGATCAACTGGTTAATGAATCCATTACTTAATTACATACTTAATTACGTAATTCATGAATTAACTAACTAACGAACAAACTAACAAACTAACCAACTAACTAACTAACTAACTAACTAACTAGCTAGCTAACTAACTAACTACTTTATTGAAGAATTCGTTAGTTAATTTGTTATTCAATTAACTGGTACTAATTATATATGTTTACTGCAAGTTGGCAAAATAGTTGAGTAAATGTATTGATTTAATTGAAATCAGTTGTTGCAATCAATACATAAGTTCATGAACTACGTAACTAATTGAAATAACTAATCGTTAACGATTAAACGAACTGAATGAGTAGTTAAATCAAATAAGTAATTGATGAATGAAAGAAGCAATGGTGAAGCAACGAATGAAGGAACAACTACATGAATTCAATTAAGTTCAATAACTACTAGTTACTTCATTAATTAAACGAACTAACGAGCTAGTAAACACGTCAGATAATGAACTAACGAAAGAATGCATGCATGCATGCATGCATGCATACATGGATGGATGGATGGACGGATGAATGAATGAATCATTTTACTAATTCATCAACTTAACTATCAGTTAATCAACTAATTTGACAAGTACAGTAATTCATTCATTAACTCATGAAACAAATCAACAGTTAATGAATGAATTCAGTTGGTTCATGATCCGACTTGGCGGATGATGAGGTGATCGCTCCCTCGGACGATTAATGACGTGGCGGTGGGCTCTGAAGGGGACTTGCTGGCTGATTCTGCTGTTGAATTTGTCAGCGTCGAATCCTTCCTGCTTTTGCCTGTCGTTGAGGAGTTCCTCAGGCCCCGGCTGGTGCGGATTTAGCGCACGCTAAAGCCCTGTTGCATCGACTTGAAGTGTGGTCGCTACGTGGGGCGAGGGCGGCTGGCGGCCTTGCTGCCAAATGAACGGCGTGAAAGGATTCGCGTCATTTTGATCGTGCTTGACCTTTTCGGTCCTATAGTTAGGTGCATCTTCGGCAGCGTCTGGCGGACTCTTCATGCCGGAGAGGAAGAAAAAGAAACGCCCACCCAAACACTGACTTCTTGCAGCCAATGCCCTTACGCAGCCTACCGAACAAACCGAGAACCCTGAACTCCCTGAGCCCCCTGAACCCGAAGATCGCTTCTCGGCAGTGGCCTGGTGGCGGGCGTGCCCCGCGATCGCCTCATCCTCTTCAATGAGCTTCATGGCCACGGCAATGTACTGGTTCCACTTCCTGCGCTGCGAACTTCCACCACCCTTAAGTCCCAAGCCAGAATCCAGAACTGCATGGCTGGCCTTTGGGTGATGCGCACAGACGGGGCGTCGCGGCCCCAGAGAGATTCACCCAAATCCTCTCAACTTTCAAGAGAGGTCAAGAATGGTCTAAGGCTGCGCTGTCCCTCGCTGTCCTTCCAAGTCTAGGCCGCCTAGGCCCTATAGGTTTTTTTTTGCAGTAGCCGTTCCTGTGGGCCAGGACGCTGCAAGTCCTACCGCGTGCCGTCCTCGGGCCGGCGCAGGCCCTCCACGAAGACGTTGCTGAAGAACTTCCCGTACCTAGAGAACGGGCTCATGACTAGTAGACTAATAACTACTCTAGCAATAATACACCCCCCCAATACCCGTAATACCTAAGGCTCCTGAAACTTTCCAAACTCGAAGCTCTGCTCTCTGCCTTGGCACAGCCTCCTTCACTGCAATTCAATAGATCTCACCGCCTAAAGGTTTCCCCAAAGCTGCCGTGAACCTGAGCTGCAACTCACCAAGGCAAGGCACTCCAGTACCGAAGAACCGAAGAAAGAGTTGAACGCGCCTCTGGGAAGCAGGGATTTTCCGGAGCTTCGCATCAAAGAGGCATCCGTCAGAAGCTCGTCCCCGAGTAGTTTCAGTTGGGTACAGGATTGCGATGGTACATAATTTTTTGCAGAGTACGCCATCCCAGGTTCGAAACTCCGGCCTTCGTCAATCTCAGCATCTGCAAGATACATCATGTCCTTGTCCAGGTAGTTGGTGGCACGCACCTGCTGCGAGAAGTAACACTCCCGGGTCAGCAAAGGATCTCGGGAATCATGTTGGTTGCATTTGTGAAATCCTTCACGATACTTCGTGAAAGCAAGGGTGGCTGAAAGCGAAACTCCATGAATCACGACCACCAGCTTGATCTCCTACACTGTGTCCCTACACTGGCAGCCCTCTCCCTTGGAAAAAGTAACTCTCTCGCCACAAATCGAAGCGCGAAGCCTTAAATCCTAAAGACCCCAAACAAAACTCCCGAACACGCCGGGGCCCTCGACCCCACGCCTCGCTGCGTCCCGTGAGCTTCTCGCACAAAAAGCCTCCACAAAGAAAGGGAAAATGGGTGCTGGATCATGAGAGCTCATGGTGGGAAAAAACTTAAACCCCTATGGAGCCCGAAACCCCAAAAACCCTCTAGCCCGAAACCCCCAAAACCCATAACCCCAAACCTAAAGAACATGAAAACAAAAAAACAAAAGCGCGCACACACACACACACGCATACAAA